CAGGGAGATTGATGGTTTCTAGGGCATATCTTCATAATATCTGTATGTTCTTCATACACTTCATACTCTGCTCTCAGATGGATGGCTTAGTTTTGGGGTGGTCCTGTGTGGAGCCAGGAGTTGGACTCCGTGACTGGCATGGGTCCCTTTCAACTGAGGATATTCTATGATTTTAAGATTTATTACTTAGCATTAGATAAACAGCAATATATGTGGATCCTTCTGGAAATGATTTTTCTATAGGAAGCAGTGCTTTTTTCTGGAATTTAAGAGAGAGCCAGCTTATACATGCATTAACCTTGCACAATATTAACTGTACAGGATGATTTTATTGCATTTGTTTTTTTCTAAAACTATATTTTGCTGCCAACTTAAACCAAAGCATTTCTTGTTTTTACCATGAGCAGTTGTATATATCCTAAAGACAGATGGCAACTTGCAATAGCAACAGTTTTGCCTGTCTTTCCTTCTCTGTGATTTCCACAAGCCAGTTTATCTTTCAGAACTTCCTTTAAATTCTAACAAAGAAATTTGCCTTAGAACTGATGATACAGAATAGTTCCCTGCTATTTTTCATGTTATTTATATAATTTTGCTGTTAGCATGTGCTATGGTATTATATACTATAAATCATGTTTTATTTCAGACAGAGATTTTGGTGGTATTATTTTTAGATCCAACTCTGCTTCTGCTGATATCCAAACCCGCTAAGAAAAGGTTTGCAGAAATACTTAAAATCTCGTTTATAGTTTTGGGATAACATCCATATTATGAATCATATGGAAACAGCAGCACTATATAAGTAAATAGATATACCACTGAATAGAAAGAACGTGCCCTGAATATATGTGTAGATGCACTTTTGCATTTTAGAGAAATGAGAAGTTCAGTTTACTTCTTTTTATCATTATTTCTGTGGCCTTTTTCAGGCCAAGTAAATTGCCACAAATTACATTTAGATGACATTTCAACCTATTTGCAATCAGATCCATTGGAAAGTACGGAATCTGATACCAACATGATTTCCAAGGCTTGATACAACACACTGAAGCCTGTATCTTCCTTTTTTTTTTATTTTTTGAGATGAAGAGTATACTTTTCTTTTATAGAACAGTTATTACATAAACTAACACTGAACACAGAAATGGGAAATTTAACCTTAGAAAAATTGTCTATTTTCTTTGCTTCATGCTTTAAAATAGTCATAACTGAGCAGTTAAAAATGGACCAGTAGATATCAGTAGAACTGATTAGCTGTTTTAACTGGGGTACCAAGTCATTTAGACAGCAAATAAGGGATATTTGATCAATGATCCAGCAATATGACATCTGGTGTGCAGTTTCACAGTCTTAGGGCCTGATTCTGATCTCTCTGATACTAGCATAAATTAGGAGCAACTTATGTAAATTAAAAGCATTCACTGAGGTGGTGGGGAGTCAGAATGAAGCACCTTGTGTTCCAATCTGTTTCACTCAGTATCTCATGTCTGACTTTAGAGATTGGCTCACTTACAGAGCTCTACATTAGACATATTGCCTACTTGTTTTAAAATATGTATGTTTAATATTTAATTTAACAGGATTCCATATTCTAGTCTCTGTGCACTGTGGAAGTCCCTTTGAGGCTTGTGGTTTATATGTACAGTTGCAATACTCCTCAAGCATAATTTGGTGGCATCATTGCCTAATGGGGTGAAAGGAAGTATCTGTCTCCAATTAATCTTGTCTGTTTTTAGAGAGAGCAATAAAAATATTGCCAAGCAAGTGGCAATTTGTAGGAGCTAAGTAAGGCTCTCCAAATCTCATTTAATTCAGTATGTGTAATAGTGAAATGCTGGTAGAGGTACAGGTCTCATCTATTGTCTACATACTTCAAATATACACAACTAATTTAAACCACCATCTTCAAATGATGACACAAAAATTTTGCCAACTCTGCAGTATAGTTTATAATGATGCACATACTATTACTGCAAATAAGATTGTATAATTATCATAAATGGAGCCTCTGCTTATATATTCACAGACATATAAGAAGTATTTTTCAATATATTATGCTGTATAGCATCACCTAATATCTGCCAAGATGACAGACACATCTGTAATATGCAAAAACTAATTGCAAAATTTTAAAAAATGCTCACAGATTTAAAACTTATGATCTCTTTGGACAATCCACACCAAGTCTGAAGTTACCTAAGGCCAACAATGGCAGAATGAATACAGCAGTTTAAATGACACCTGGATGGCCATCATAGCTGGCTTGCAGGAGAGACTATTTTCAAGATCATTTGGCACATCTAGAATGTGGGATAGCTCTCTGAAGTAAAGAGTTTAAGCGTTAAAAGGTCAGAAATAGAACAGCTAAGTTATCCATTCACACTGGCAATGGGAATCTTTGCCATTTGGCTCTGAACCACTTTGACATTCTGCATCCTAATGACAATTACATGTCCCATACTGATATTTCACTTTCAATTTTCATAGAATTAGTGAAAGCATTTAAGGAGTTAATGGAGGCATAGTACTTTCTTTAGAGAAAATATGAAATTAGATTAGAAATTAGATTGCCTTGAAAACATTACATGCAGGAAAATGTGCACTCAGAAAGCCTTCAGGAGCAATCATCTAAGCATGGTTTCTTGTGACTCACATTTTACTGTTCCACTGCAAAGAAAAAAATAACCACAAAGATCAGTGGCAAGATTCTGTTGTCTCTAAGAGGCACAGTTCAAAATTTCATAATCCAGAACTGAAATTGTTTCAAATCATTCTCCATCCTCACAATCTTAAACTGCTGCAGGGAGCTATAAAATCCCCCTGGAATGAAACAAAGGATATTGGTGGCTACATGGCAGCTTGGCAGATATGCCACAGCCTTTTCCTAGCACGCTAACCCTGATTGAGCCCTACACCTGGCATGAGGACTTCAGAGTCTGTCCTCAGAAGGCATCTTTAAGTTTGTTTTCCGCGTGTACTACCAGGGGTATCGTCCCTTCACCAGGAATAGAGCTTTTAAGGGCCTCTTTATGCCAATCTCATTCCTCTTATCTTACGTAAGGGGCCAGAGCAGGGATGGAGCTCCCTTTCTTAGCTCTAAATCTATCCTATATGGCACGCAATTCTCTAAAGTACAGCCAGCTTCTGCTTTGATGAAGCACTGTGCAGTGAAGACTGAAGGATCCTGTTTTTCACCATTTAAAGATGTATGATAGCAACAAAGCTCTATGTTAAAATATTTAACTCGCAGAGAACTTATGGAAATTGTCTATTCAAGCTCAGCAAAGACATTAAATTACCAAGCTGTTCTAGGACAGTTGTGTGTGGAGAAAAGCCAGAAATGCTCTGAGATTGTAATGTTACTTAAAAAGATTACAGTGCAAGCCTGATTCAGAAGCTTTTTATACATATCAGCATGGTGAGCTGCAAAATGTTACTATATCAATTTCTGCAAAACATACTGTGTGTGTACATATAGATATAAAATCAGGACTTATACACAGCACATTTCCTGCCACATTTTGAACGGCATCTGTTTGTTTAGTTTGCTGAAATATGAAAAATAATATTTAGCAACTACTGGTAACACAATGTTAACAAGATTTAAGACTATAGCACTGTCTGTCAAAATGCAGATAAAAGACATATCCTTCCATCTCAGTGTTTTAATCAGTCAGATCTGGTTTTGATGAATATGCAAATGTGACTGTTTATACACTGTTTTCAGAGTGAAAGGAAACAAATTCAGTTTTGTCATAGAATTAATGATAGCTCTGTCCCCTAAGATTAATAATTAAAACCCTACACACATTAAAATGTTCCTTCCTCATACCCTCTGAAGATTTTACTTTTCTTTCTTTTTTTTTTTTTTTTGTTCCCCTAATTGGAATGATTAATAATTAATGTCAGTTCAGGGATATTTAATAGTCATTTTTGGAAAAAGAATTGTACTTAACTGAAAAAAGGGTTAAGAACATGCTTTCTTTTGTTAATTTGGTTTTACTCTTCACTATAAATTGATTTTTTCCTAAAAGTTTTATGCCACCAAAGGAAACACATGACCTGTTCTAATGGTAGAAGCCTATTATTTATTCCAGTATTCATATGATTTTATTCTGATTTTCAAAATATATATTGAGATTCTATTCAAAGCCCTGGCTGCTCGGACCAGCAACCTTCATAAGAATTGCATCTTTTCTTTTTCTGACAGACACACACACACAGTACAAGTTTAGACCAAATCAAATCTCAGAGAAGAGATTAAAACTGTGGAACAAGTGCATTACAAAGTCTGAGAAAGCAAAAGAGGAATAAGAAAAATATTGCTGAAATTTTGTTTTCTCTGATGATTTCTGAGTTGGTATGGGAGTGGCTGAGTCATGATTTCCAAATCCTCAGGACAGGAAACATTTCAGAGAAAGGTTACAGCAAAGCGAGCACAAGTTCAACCTGACCATTAACCCTCCTTCCTGTACCAAAATTATCACGTTATTTTCACGTGCCCATTAGGGTCTATATTGAGACCACTAAACTTCTCTTAATTAAAACCAGTAAAGCAGACATTCTTAAGAGTAAATAAGTAGTTTTTAAAATGTTTTTGCATTATTTTACTAGAAAAAGCTATATTGTGGTTCCAAAGATGCTTATTTCTTTCTGAAGAGAAAAGCTCTTCGATAAAGACAAATGGAAATATTATAAAAATCACATTTCTTCAATAAAGCTGTTTCAGTTTCTTCCTTTAATGTTTTCAGAGGTATATTGATCCTATATGGGAATTGTAGCACTGTCTTACATATTGCAAAGGAAATATTTTATGTGAAATTAAATTAGCATTTGTCTTTATTTCACCATGTAGGCTACTTCATGTGTCATTGATAGCAGTAAAAACAAATGTTTGTGAGCGTTTACCTTAGCAGGGATGATGAATTATACTCTGTAAGCATTTAAGGGTAGACATTCATAATGAAGCCTGCTAGTTGGCAAACATGCCTATTACTTACCACACTGAGTCCTAGCAGTTCTCTGCAAAAGTAGTCCATGTTCCTCCTTTGTAGGTTGTCAAGATAGTGCTGAAGGCGAGTATAGGTGTAGGGGTAGCAGTAAGCAAACTGATAAGTGTCATCCTCACGGTCAAAGCAAAATGCAAATGACATGACATAGTTCTTCCTGTGGTCTGGGCAGTGATAGTAATACACATTTTTAGAGGGTATTCTTTGCCTAAAAAACAAAAGCAACATATATACATTGACATACATACACACATTCATAAGAAACCTGAATTAAAAAGTTATGTGGGGTTTTTATTTCCTCTCAAGTAAACAAAATGAATTAACTTGAGCAGTGCAGGAGCTCGTGAGCAGATTCCAGAGACTGGGTTTCAGAGCACTTATGCAGAGGACTTCCATACTGCGGCCCATGCTGAGCTCTGCTATTGTGCTAGAGTTCTCTCTCCAAGTGCCTGAGCTTGCAGGGTCACCATAGCAGGGGAGAGCTTCACACAGCCACAGAAACCCACTCCCAAGCTGCAAGCTGGATGCACAGGCAGTTAAAATACCATCTCTTTTGCTATCAAGCTGCTGCAGCCTCATAGCTTACAGGCTTCAGCCAAACCTTTGGTTGGAGTGTGGCTACATCCTTTGATACGGGACTGACTCATCAGTCAGCGCACAGACAAGGCATAATTTGTGAAGGAATGTCAGTACAAGGCAACATTGACACAACTGTTAAAAAACTTCAGGATATCTTTGTTACCCTTATTAGTCAGGATGTATCAACACCTATCCAATGAACAGAGGAATAGATAAATTGTTAAGGGAAAACAATGAAAAATCTTTGGGTACAGAAAATAACCTGGTCCTGAATTAGAAAGTGAAGGAGAAAAGTTTATCTGGTCCTGTTCCAAATTGAATTGCTGCCCTCCTCAAGAGTTCTGGCTTATAGTGCTGACATGATAAAAATGAATATATATGATGGTAAATAATTACAGCAGAGACATTTATGTTATTGTTACTAAGATGGTATTTATTTAAGAAATAAAAAATGTCAGCCTGATATCTTCCACCCAACTTCAGCCATTCTTTTATTTCTAAACAGAAAAGAGTAATATTTCAGAGATACAAACATTCTATGGACCAGAGGTGTTCAATATTTCTCTCTGTACCCCTTTGCCATTTCATAGATGGATTTTCTACCTTTATTTAGACAGGAGATTCTCTAGTCATGCCATGTACTTGTAATTTGATGTAACTAACTTACCAGCCCTGTTTGGCAACAAAACACTATGGTCCTGCAGACTCTAACTGATTCAATTACACAGCATTATAAACAGGTCTCATCTAATGATTGGAGCAGATCTCAGCTGAACTAGCATCTTGGTGAGGGAAAACATAATAAGATTTACAGACATAGCAGTAGTAATGTGCCTCTTTGTAATAGTTCCGAGAAACTGGTCTACTGCAGAGCATCAGTTTTAGCCTTTCATTGCTAATATGAAATAGAGGACAAAACCCTCTCATTATGCAGAAGTACATGTTTGCCAATTAGCAGCAGTTAAGGAGTCTGATCAGCAAGACTCAGAAGCTACAAAGAGAAACAGAAAGGAATTGAGATGTTCTTGAAAAAGTACAATAAAGAGCCAGTGATGCAGTTAATTAGACTTGAAATAAGAATTTATTTGCCCCTTTTATTGCCCTGGTTCTTGAACTTTCAGAGTTTCAATAATTTGCTTCAGCATTTTTTGGTTAAATAAGACACTTGCTTATCATTAATATCTGAAAATGAATTTTAAGCCACAAATATCAAGGACAAAATAAAATAGTTCTTTTCATTTATTTTTTTTAAAGTAGCTGTAGTATGGAAAAAATGCCACCAACCGTCTGCATACAGTACCCTAACCTAATAGGTTTCTCCAGTATCTTAACATATTTCTATCGTTCACCCTTACTCTGGAGTGCTATAGGACATCCCTCATTTAATCTCAAATCAAGCAGATGATATGGCAGTGGGTAAATGTATTCCAGCTCCCAATCCTCAAACTGTAATGCAAGTTTAAACAGTATGTTGCTGAGTTGTTGAACTTTATTTGTTTCCAAATTAGCACGGGAGAAGTAATAAAGGACAAGCCCCACTTTATGAAATAAAAATTTCATGTAAAATTAGACCAATAAGAGGAAAGTCAAGATTTTAGAAAGCCTAATGTTAATTGAAATTCATTTGCTGATAGTTAATGTTTAAATGACACATAGTTCTCCTTGGTTCAATAACTTTCTACTTTTAAGCAAGTTGAAGACAACTTTGTTAATGTATTAAGGGCACTTTTGATATTTTGTTCCCTCTCCCCTTCATTATAAAAGCTAAGCATCTGTTTTATTATCCACTTTGACACATCACTTTATGGCTGCATTTGGCTATTATGGCTAATCTTGATGTCTAGGACATCTGGTATTGACATTTCACTATCTGGTGTCTGACACAACAGCAGAAACCATCCTCAGTTCCTAGGCTTAAATTCACCCTCTCAGGGCAGAAAGTGCCCTAACTCTTAATTCAAACCATATCTTCCAAAAATAATTATAATAGTACTCCTGTCACTGTGAATCTATTTTTATCTCTCCTAGCACTTTGTCACTGCTAATCTATTTGTGAGTCATATAGAGAAAAAGAGTTAGTGTTTAGATACCAACAACACATCTTTACACAGAGAAGCCTAATCAGATTGAGATCTTATCTGGGAATTAAAGAAGAAAAAAGAAAAAAAAAAAAAAAAAGAGGAAGAAAAAGAAAAAAATGAGACATAGTGCTAGATATCACCAACTGAGTTTTTGATAACGAAAAGACATTGCTCAGTTCTTGAATTAACCTTTGTGTCCTAGACGCACTATTGTTTACTCTTTCCCTTTTTTGTTCTATGCCTTCTGGAAAAGGACACCCACACACTGTGGCAGCAGCTGCTCCTATTAATTTAAAGCTATTACAAAAATTAAAATTAAACCCAATTACTTTGGCTGGTTTATAGCCGGGGAACGGCTTAGTCTGATTGTTCCCTCTGGTTATGGACAAAAACAATATTCCTACCTACAGGCAGCTGCCAGTAGAATACTAATGCATCTGGGCCTGGCAGGGACAGATTCAGACTGTGGAGTTTAACTGCATTTCTTACCAGAGAAAAATATCTTATCATGGATCTGCAGAAATGCACCAACTTCTTACACTGTAAGTCACAATGAAGCTGATTTGTAGTTAGAGGTAAGAAAGAAAAACTGTGGCAGAAAGCTTAATACTCAGATTTGTCATTTTGCATTTCCAGGCAGCTCACACTAAGAATTGCACCCTGCTAATTGATACACAACTGCCTGAATTTCCTTGCTTCTGAGCAGTTATTTAAAGGAGAACCAGCCTGATTCTTAAGTAAAGCCACAGAGCACAACATGCAGGCCACTAATTTCCACTCAGTTTTTAGAAATATATTTGCAAAAATGAAGCTTAGTATTTTACTTCCTTTTGAAACAAATTCAGGCTGTTTGGTCTTAAATACAAAATTATTTCTGTCAAAAATAAATAAATAAATAAATACAAGAGAAAGAAGAAGGAAGCACAGAATGGAAATTTTCCCTCTATTTTTGGCTCTCATAGTCCAGTGCCAGTCAAAACTTGACCCAGTGGGTTTGAGTATCTTCTCTTCTCTTGAGTATCTGACAAGCATACACTCTCAACCTAGCATATTTGGTACTTTTAGTGCGCACACACGTTTCTTTCTATATGCTTGCTTCATTGCTGTCTGCAGTCAGGACATTTACTCTCTCTCTTTTGGTAGAGTGTAATAAGATCACATTTTTTAGCTTATTGGAAAATTTGGAGCCCGCAGTCAGAGTCAAAAGCCTGATAACTTCAGAGGTCCCAGGATTTTACCCTTTGCTACTACAATAGGCAGCAAGGTGCATTACACATAAGTGACTTTTGAAAAGTTTATCCTAACTATATTTCAATTTTGAAAATAATTTTCATTTTATCTCTAGCTTAGCACATCTTTGAGCTTAAACCTAAAATTTATGTCCTTTGTTGTTGTTTCTTTCTACTGCTTCAACTTCCAATTTTCAAAAGGTAGAAACTGGGGAGTGATGTGAGTGGGTGTCAGTTCTTTTTGAGGTTTTAAACACATAGGGGTGTTAATCAAAGACTAGAGCCCTTGTGTGATATCACAACACAACTAATTAGAAAATAACAATTTTTAGAGGGCCTTTTTTCCCCTATTGCATGACTAAAGCAGAGAGCTCTTGCCCAGCCAAATTCTCAATGACTTTAATGAGCAGCCTAAACAGTCTTTGGACCGCTCTTGGTATGGCACTCATGAAGTAATTATTCAGTTCCTTGCCTCTGCAGGATTGGGTTAGACATATCACAGTCAGTAGACTTCAAAGTAAAATGATGATCTTTGGAGGAAAAACAAAAAGCTGCAGGTGCTGTAAAAGATCAATGGCCAAAAGAAAAATTAAGTGATTGGACTTGCAGAGAAATGCTCAAGTGGATCTGACTGAAATGTAGTGCTAGCTGTGGTGACACACTGTGGTGATCATTTTCAATTGTCATCAGTTTGCAGGTGTAGGAATATAACTTCACAGTTTTTACTAATTCCCAGGCTTTCTTATATTATTCATAAGGGTGGGACTAAGTCACTACCTCAAAGGAAATTATATCTAAATTTTAAAGAGATCTGAAGTGCAAAATGTAATTCTGATTTTGAAAATAACCTTAAGATATTTATTGACTCTACCCAAAATGCTAGATCTAGCTGTTCCTTCCAAGTGTTCAAATTTTATTCTTAAAGCTAGATGTCCCTATTTATAACTGCAAAAAATCCAACAAACTCTGGAGAAAATATAAGGAAGTTAATCATGCACTGCAAACTCCTCTTCTGGGAGGCAGCCCTTTCAAGTTGAAGGCCTTACTGACTCATTTCTCTGTTAGTCTAAGATGTTATCTTTCTTCTTGCTTATTCCTGTTGACAAGTGGAGATGACCATCTTCAAAATTCCTAGCTTACTTATGACAAAATAAGTTTATACCCTTTTTTCTTGCACAGAATTTTATGTTTGATTCACAGAGCATGGAGTGACAGTGAATATGTCTTGTGGTGTTAAATATTTTTTGTGGAGAGCTGAATGGGTTTTGGCACAACTAACTCAGTTTTAGACACTGCAGAGTAAGTCCTGCTTTTATTCT